CGTTATTACGGAGTACATATTATATATATATATATATATATATATATATATATATATATATATATATATATATATATATATATATATATATATATATATATATATATATATATATATATATATATATATATATATCCAATCTCTATATGGATTTGATTGGATATATGAATAACGTCGTCTAATGTTACTGAAGATTTGAAAATGTTATTGGATGGAATTGCTAGATCGACTTGAAATATCATACATTTTAATTTATTTCGATGACACATTTTGACCGTTACAAATGATGTATATCGAAATAAATCAAATTAGATTGACAAAGCTTCTTTTTCCTTCTCCTTTTCGTAGTGCACGATATCCTCATTCGAACGAAATATAAAAAGTCTCAGCAAGACAACATTCAGTAGCACTCCATACCAGTTTTCCCACCTTATTTTTACCTTGTTAGGCGGCTATGATTGTGGCTAGCCGTGTCTAGCAAACACATATATCGTCAACACATTCACATAACTTCACATCGATAGCAATCAACAACAAACACGCAATTGAGTATCTCCCACTCTTCAATGCGATGAAATGAATCTGTGAGATTTTATTTGGGATTTTATAAACAACGACAAACGTTTATTAAGTCCCAAATGCCGTTTAATATTCATTTAAGTCGATAACAAATAATGCAAATATTTGAACAATTAATTTACGTGTGAACACCATCGAAATGAAGAGAAAACCTCGGTAAAGGGTGGGAAGACAAACGCCGAAAATCAAGTTAAATTCGAGGCGAACACAATGTAAATTTTACATTCTATGCTTTCGCGTGACGTATAGACGTCTCAATAAGCCGATTGATACATGTACGAAAAAATCAACGCGAAATGTGCAACTAATAACCGGGGAATTTCAAAAATATTGAAGAGGTTTTTTCATTCACTCAGGAACATCTACAGTTAATGGCCGTATGCAAATACGTTAAAGACATTTAAAATAACAGTTCCAGTTCAGAATTGTTGATGAGAGCCGACGGTCCGCCATTGTTTATTCGCTTTCGACGTGTCCGTAGTTGTTTGTGCCCTTTTATTTGTTTCCATATCTAAAATATCTACATTAAGACGAAATTTACATTTTTATAAGCACATCGAACGATGATGTAGGTAGACAAATGTAAATATAAAACGACGATGCAGCAACAACTCCAGTGAATAGAGTTTATTTATCAAAGCAATTTTCATAGAAATCATCACTGATTGTTTACCCCCTTCCTTAGCTGAAGTGATAATTTCTTCAAAATACTTCAACAATACCCAATTATTGTCAGGCAGTATGGGAATCGTTTCTAATCGTTTTTATTTGTATGTGACTGGTAATTGATATTTGCTTAGCTTTAAAACTATACATGACAAGGAAAGACGAGGCACTGTGCGGTATAATTTTATTTCGTATGAACGTTATTTTATGAATATTTGGATATTTAACACTTCTTTAGAACGGGAATAGCTTTCTTAAGAGCTCTAGATACCAGGTTGTAAGCAATGTATGTACCGTGATACTGGTAGCGTTTCCCGACGTCAAGGAAGTGAACGGAAGAAAACAGCAACTTCAGCAGAAATTCGAAAAGTAAAGAAGCGACTTGATCGAAACCCGCGCCGTAGTGGCCGAAAAATGCCAAATATATATATATATATATACCGAACCGAATTTTCAGCTAACCTCTTTGGCATTTTTCGGCCACTACGGCGCGGGTTTCGATCAAGTCGCTTCTTTACTTTTCGAATTTCTGCTGAAGTTGCTGTTTTCTTCCGTTCACTTCCTTGACGTCGGGAAACGCTACCAGTATCACGGTAACGAGCGTTGGTGCGAGACACAAAAGATTTATTCATATTAAAATGCTGGAGTGTTCTAACGATAGCGACTTGTGGTTTTCCGGCCAAATATAAAGATATCACACTATCACACTTGTATCACAAAGAAATCGCACCAAAATACACTTGTAAACAATATAATGAGCTGTCACTGGAATAATTTTAACAGCTGTCGGGCGAGTGGCTTAGAAATGACAGTATTTTGAATTTGGTTGCAGTTTTTCATCTCACCCTGTATACATACATATTTTTTTCATATGAAGTAATCGATGGCAGGTAATGAAGTGGATCGGAAGTGAAATGATTTGTCATAGGACCCGTTATAGGTAAATCCCAATAATTTTAATACTGGCACGACAAATTTTATAACCAATGCCTTGTCAAGACATCATCAGTGTTTTGCCATTGAGTTCTGCAAATACTTTTCATATTACTTTCTTACGGCATTTGTACAGAATTTTCTTATAGACAATAGGTTGTTTTCAATTTTACAAATTCATATTTGGTTAAAAATTGGGTTAGTGATAGAGAAACAGTGTGAAAAGACCTAAATCGAAAAAAAAACTATAATAGATGAACGAGAAAACTCCGGCTCTAACAAAATCTCTTGAGGAGACCTTTCATTTTCAACTCCTCCATCCGAATTCTGATTAAAAATAGTCTCAGTGAAATTAATTACTGGTCTTGGTCTTGTCCACATGTATCAGATTTGTTGTTGTTTTTTAGTGAAGAGCTAGAGTGTCTTATGCCTTTAAAATGCAAATGATAATTGACTTGAATCCGTTCCGTTTTAATTAAAATAAAAACTAAAGCAACTAGCGAAACCCATCCAATTTGGTTGGAAATAGTGGAAGAAACCTTCAAAATACCGAAAATCTTTGCTTTAAGTGGACTTGAATCGAAATTTGGAAATTTCGTTATATGGAGGCCATACCTAAACGTGGACCCATATAGCCCATTTTCAATAAGAATCAGCCTGCATATAATATAAACCTTTTTGCCAAATTTCAATCGTGATTTCAACAGACCGACGGACATCGCTAAAATTTTATACTGATCAAGAATATATATCCTTTTTGGGTCTCCGGCGAATATTTCAAACGGAATGATAAATTTAATATACCCTCCATTTTATGGTGGGGAATAGAAAAATCCAAGATACGTGGACTAGACAAGGACCTGAAATAATATTGTTGAATATACTACTTTCACCGGGAGGTTATGGTTAAGCATCACCTTTTTTATACCCTATGTCACACTGTGGTACAAGGTATAATGTCTTTGTGCATTTGTTTGCAACATGCAGAAGGAAGCGAAATAGACCCTTAGTTCCTTTTGATGTTCTCCAGGGAATTACATTCTGAGTCGATTTATGCATGTCCGTCCGTCTGCCCATGTAGTTTCGTAAACAATGACCCGGTCGCATTTATTGTGTTGAGATGCAATCGGTCCAAATTTATATATGCCTCCCATACATTTAGGTATCCGATTTCAGTTTTATTATGCAACCAATGGTTAATATCACCAACGTACAACCGAGTTCAGCCTTGGAGCAAATACGTTAAGACATAGCTATAACTCCTTATATCTCTTTCGTAATATGCACTCTACAACAATGATATATGATACCAGATATCATTTCGGTAAATATTATCGAAATCGATTCAGATTTGGATATGGCTTCCATATATATCTTCATCCGATTTCACAGTTATTGTTCATCAAATATGTAAAATCAGCCCAAATTGGCTTGATTTTTTGAACATTCAACCGAATTTTTCCATTTGGTGAAACTCTGTTCCTATATATCCATTGTCCCGATACATTTTTTTAAAATAATCCTATTTGAAGTCATATCATGCAGATACAAATCATGCATCAAATTTGATGGAAATAGATTCAGAGCTGGATATACCTCCGACATACTAGTTACTACTGCTTCTAAATAATGACTGCTCTAAAGCATTAAAGAAGATTCAAAGCTGGCATGATCTACTTCGCATACATTCCCAATACAAACGTTTATTTGTTACGGGTAGCTCTCCTAAATATGTTTTGTGGTGTAGGGTATCATAGATTCGACCCAAAAAGAATGTTGACCTTTCCTTTGCCGGTTCGCTCTTGTGAATGCTTATGAAGGGATTGTTCCAGGTATACTTCTTTTGATATCAAAACAATGTACAGCGTATGTGTAAATGTATATTGTTTTCAGTTTTTAGTTTTAATAGTACACTTGATACTTATTTTATAAACTTTATTTTATAACACGCCAAGTAAAAATATTAAAATTATTAACATTAAGATTTACAACAAAGCTTAATTTTCTAACTATCTACTTTTATTATTACTGTTCGGGCTAAGAGCTCTCGAGATTTGCTGAATCAAGTTGGGTTTTACCAGTTGACAAATACATCAATAACAAATATGTTTTTGTTGTTGCAAAATATTGTTCTAACAAAATCCTATGAATTGGTAAATTCCTAGCAAACATATTTTTGATGGCAAGAGAAGACTAGAAAACTGAATTCGCCTCCTGACTGGCTCTGTTAAAATGGCCTTGACGCCATGATGAGTTATCAGGTACGCGTGAATTCGAAGCCCAATATGACTTTCAAAATAATGTTGATGTTTTTATTAAAGCAAATGGTTTCATAGGCTTAAATAAGATCGGCGATGTTTTGCCCTCTCAGTTTTACAGAACTATATGTTTGCTTTTTTTTTGTAGAAATATCTACATACATATATATTTTTGAGGAAAATTGGTAAAAAAAACTCTCGCCTTTTTCATGTGCGAGACAAACTTAACAAAACAAAAGGGTATGTGCAGATTACTCTGAAAAAAAATTAGAATATCTTGACAAAAAATCGGACATCAGAGCCCTTGGAAAAATTGTTAGCTGGGTACGTACATAAAGGTGTTAGCATACACTTGTGGATGCTTTAAAATTGTACTGTCATATCAATATCAACACACCTACTTGAGGAAGGCAGGTCAGAATATCGCGAATCTAGTTAGAATTGACATATGTAGATACGAATCAGATATTTGACCAACTATGTACCGACGGAATTCAAAATACAAAAGCCAATTATACCGACGGATATTAAAATAATAAATAAAGTTTTGCTTTGCATTCTTACCATATCGTCAGCTAGATCCGTCTCACGTTCAGGTGCATTTGAACGCCCTGTACAGTCCATGGTATTGAGTTGCATTAGGTGCAAAATTTTGAATGTTTTCTCTCCTGTAGCACAGACAAACAACAAAAATAACACTCGACACTGACTGACAATAAAAAAGTGTGTATATTTCGTGACGTTTTCTTGTTCTTTTATTTTTGTTTTACAAATTTAAAATTGCGCCAATTTTTTTTACGAAACACACCAAAACACAAGGCGGCTGACTGACAGACTGTTTGCCATTAAATCATTGCCAACTAATCAACCGGTTAAGAATCACAAAATGTTCACCACTCGCGAGAATGGGAATCGAATCAGATCACTTGGAACCCGTTAGACATTGCTCAGTTGTTGTAATATTCTTCTTGTCGTGGACAAAATGTGTTTATGTTTCAATATTTTTGTGACAACTTCTGCACCGAACCGTTGCCTTCGCAATTCTTTATGTGCGCTTCATGAAAAAAGTTGCGATTTTGACAAAATAATTTAATTATTTAATTTGCGGCCGAATTGCATCGAGGAATAGATATTATTCTTTGTTTTTATTTTGCTTTTGTTGTTGATTTCTTTTATTTTGTCATTAATCAAACAAAAATACTTCGATTCCGCACAAAAACGACGCCGTTGCGTGGACAACGACGATCACAATCCAAATGAGAAATGGAATTAAACAAGAAATTAACCACCAGCACACCAATTGTTGGAGCAAAGACGCGAGGGCTGAAGGTGAGGTTGAAATGGATTGCAGCAACAACAACAACAATAACACAAATATAACAACAGCTACCACCACATCAACGAAAACCGACCGACCGACAGACAGACACACCAATAACACAATTCATTTTATTCACATTGAAATCGAATTGAGAAATAGACTCTCCCATGCTCACTCGCGCAACCGTCTCCGATAAGTTTGATTTCTCTGGCTGGCATTTATTTATGTTCTTGTTGTTGGGTGCAATGTTGGTCGTGAAAATGGAAGGGAGGTGCGTGTACTTATCGAATTATAAAACAAACGAAGAGCAATATGAAATGAATTCCACGAATTCCAATTGGATTTGTTTATTTCAAATGATTTTGAATTCAATGTTTGCACGAAATTCTGCTGTTTCAATTCCATTCATTTCGTTTCACGTTATTCCTTGGTCCGCACCACTGCTGACTTGGGAGTTGCAGATGTGATGATGTATTAGATGAAACACAGTGTCTCCAACAAAAACCCAATTCTGTCTTGACTTCGTTAAGAAAACATAAGTTTTCAATGTCGAAGGTTTGTAATCCACACTACTTGTCAGACATAAAATGTGGTACTTACATCTTATGTGTGCAAATTTACTTGCGAAATTATGTTGATTCCCGTTATATGGGGGCTATACGAAAGTATATTATTCTTCTATCTCAATTCGTTCGAAAGATAGCGTGATTAAACAGACGGACATCGCTAGATCGTCTTAGAATTTTACGCAGATCCAGAATATAGGGTCTATTATGAATATTTCGAGGAGTTACAAACGGAATGACAAGTTAATATACCCTCCATAGAATGGTGGAGGTTATAATAATTGATTAAAAATTAATTGTTTCGTTTACATTTTTGGACATATAACTCTTAAACTTGTTATTGTGCGAAGGGTACAACCATGGTACAATAAAAAGGTAAGGTAGAGCTAACATCTGATTATAATTTTTTTGTAAGTGTGTCCGACTTCTGCCAATTTTGTGTATGTATTTATTGTTTTGAAAATTAAAAACAAAATATTTTCAAAATCAATTATTGGAAGAAACATAAATTGCGGTGCGCGCATTAATGATATTGACCATATTTGCAACGGAATTGAAAGATTGAACACTTAGGATCATATTTTTGAGAGAACATATAGGCATTTCATTCATCTCTTACGCTTTTTGACTCCTTTTTAAAAATGAACAAAAAATATCAAATATATGAAGACAACTTGTTGGATATAATTTTGAATAATTCTGACAGGAAGCGGGCATAGCCTCAGGGCTGTATTTCTGTAGTTTTACGAAGCTGTTCTACCTCCTTATTGTACCATGGGTACAACAACCTATGATAGAAATTATTCTATGCAGGTCCATGTCTAGCATATAACACAACAGCACCACATATAAGGTCCGCGAAATCGTATATATCCGATATAACGGTAACTCCCTTTATTTGCTTCTTGATGATTTTAGCGACATTATACAAATTTCGTATTTGAAGGTGTTAATGGGTACCACAGCCTTGCGTGTGAAGGTCTTTGGTCTTTGTTTAGTCCTCATATTACCATACCCTCCAATATTCGTTATTTCTGATGATTTTAGCGACATTTTTCACCGAAATTGTTTCAAATTTCGTATTTAAGGGTCTTAATGTGTACTTCAGCGTATGACAGAAATTTGTCTATGCAAATCAACCGAATATAGGGAGGTACTGGTATATGGGGCCTATACGAAGGCCTGTACTTGCATAGACAATTTTCTGTCACAGACTGTAGTTCCCATTACGAACTCTTAATACGTGATTTGAAACAATTCCGGTGAATATTGACGCTAAAATCATCAAAATAAATTTTCTGTCTTAGGCTGTAGTATCCATGGTACAATGAATTCAAGGTAGGGCAGAACTACCATATGATTTCAATTTTTTTAGTTTTCTGGCTTAATATGTCAACTTCATTTGTTTATGTGTGCGTATTCTTTTCAATAATAAAAAAATTGTTCAGAAAATATTCAAATTCGGGTGTTTTCAAAATGCTTATTGCAACATATGCATCGACAAAATCTACAGTTTTTGTCGCGAAATAAACCTTTAGAGATATATAGAACATGATTTTGAAAAGAAATGCTGATCTTTCATTCAGTTTTCGCGGTTTTCAATTATTTGTTCAAAATAAATGCAACAAGTTGTTTGCTTTTTTATTGTTTTGATACTAATTCTGACATTACAAGCCAAACAGGTAGACCTCTATACTTGCAATTTTTTCAAAGTTGACCTACCTTCTCTTCATTGTACCATGGTAGTATCCATTACCAACTTCAAATACCAAATTTTAAGCAATTCCAGTAAATAAATAATCGCTAAAATCATCAAAATACCGAATATCGGGAGGTACCGTTATATGGGGGCTATATGAAAACGTGGACCTACATGGCCCATTTACGAACTTAACCTGCCTACTCGAAAAATAAACATGTATGCAAAATTTTAGCCTTCTCAATTCGTTCGAAAGATAGCGTGATTACAACAAATGCAGACGGACATCGCTAAAGCGACTTAGAATCTTACGCTGATCAAGAATATATATTCATTGTTGGGTCTGTCGTGAGTATTTCGAGGAGTATACCCTCCATAGTATGGTGGAGGGTATAAAAACTGAAACTAGAACAAACAAAGAAGTTCTGCAAAAGTCAATATAGTAACAATTTCGTTCTCCACCCTGCACACAGCCCATATTCTGCCCTAAATCACCACGACATAACATCTAGATTATGTGCTGCATATTTTGCTTCAAAATATGGCAAAATCAAAAAAAAATCGTATTCTTTTGACACATTTAGCGGAAAGTTTTGGTTGTGTCAAGTTAATTTATTTTACTGAAATGTACTGAAATGTGCATGAGCATTAGAGCGGGGAAATATATATTTGGTATGTTGCAGAACTGCAAGAATGTAAAAGATTTTTGTACGATAATCGATATTCCCTTTGTGATACCGAAAAAAATGAAAATCCTTGTAACTAACAGCATGCGGTTCAATGCAAATTCTCCCGTTTTTATTAGAATTAACCAAGTTTTTCACTAAGTATTTTCAACCTTTAATTCATCATTCAACATTCTTTCAATTTCGCGACTTTTGTTGGGAATTTCTCAAAATTTTCTTTCTTACTGCAAACAAAACAATTGAAAGAAAATTTAAATCAAATCGGCCCAGCCGTTCTGAATTGATGAGTTAGTAACAATTTCCTTTTTTAATTATTTTCATATAATTGAATGCTAAATATCTAATTATTATTATTAAATAACTAATTTTTGACAATACAAAATTTAATTTTGATTCCTTCTTCTCAACAATTTAAAAAGGTAACGTAGCTATTTTCTACTCAGACCCACTGAATGGTGTTTGACAACTTTTTGTCAATATTTGTACGTCAGAGAGAAAATTCTTTAAAAAAAAAATTTTCTGAGAAAGTTGTCGTACATACCTAATATTTCGTTTACTTACTTATTTATATGGTCTTGTTTTTTTTTCAATACTTTTGACAAATATTTTTATTTGCAGTGTTGTCTAATTCGGACTATTGCCCACAATTCCACAATGTGTTTAGGTGCTATTACTAGATATTCCGCAAAAATATAGCGAAAATCAAATAAACATGCATAAATTGATCAATTCAATCAAACCCGCCTTGTCAGCTTCGTGGTATTGGGCGGAGAAATAAGGTTTCATTCCATTGTGCCCACTTCGGTCAGTTGTTATTTGACATGTTCCTATCCATTGCGTTCTTCATCATAGTTAGAGAGAGGGAGAGAGCGAGAGCAGTGAATACGAGAGAGCGCAAGTATTTCTTTTGCTCGTTGCGTTTTTTTATTCGGGTGTTTGTGGCAACGAGTGTCAACACGAGTGTGTGTATGTGCGGCGTTATTAATTAATTTCAGCTATTCTGTTCCCTCTCATGAAACATTCTCGCTCTTTCATTTCTTCTTGGCTCTGGGCTTATCAAAATAATCATTACTCAGTTTTTCCCTTTGCTTTTGTTGTTATATATAAAATTCATTTGAACGGTGTTCAACCAATCGGAATTCGTCGTTGAGTCTCAGTTGGTGGTTGAGATACCTTATTGTTGTTATATAAGTGTATTTCTTTTATATGGGTACGACGAAACAGTATGTATGCATAACTGTGTGTTGTGTGTTCTTCTCCTCATCAATTCAAATTGGAAATTGTATCTCGTTATTATAAAGAGGGGAATGTTGTTGGTTCGCTAATGATTGTGCGTCACACAAGTTTCGTCTATGCTTTCGTTCGTTGGACTGCTTTGCATTTTGATAGGGAGGGTTTAAGTTTAAAACTACATACATACATAGGTATCTACAATGTAATACTACATGGCGAACAATTTGGTATTTTATCAGTGTTTGAAATGTGTTGTATTTTATGATGGCATAGGAGGAGGCTCAGGGGCCCGATTTGAATACACTGAATGTTGTTATCGATAAAACTCATATGCCAAGCTAGGTATTGCCCATTGGTGGGTTATAAAAAATACTGCTTTTCAACATTGTAATGGCGCAACGCCCATTGCTAAGTCAATGTTGGGGCAGCTTCTTGGATTACTGTGAGTGTGGCAGCGAGTGATTGAGAATTGTTCAAACATTGTATAGTATTATTAGTTTATTATAGGTAGGTACTTATTTATCGCTGCAGTCACCGACGAAGCCAAGGCACGGCCTGGCCACTTCGAAATGTTTTTTTTTTAATTTTTTGTCTTTTAGCCCTCCAGAAATGGATTCGAAAGTTGTTGTTGCTAAATGGGCATACGTTTATTTTTTCCATAATGTTTTAAATTTTTTTAATTTTAAAAGGACTGGTCGAGCTTAACTTATGGCCAAAGGAGTTAACCTATGCACAGATAAGTTGACATGTAAATTACAATTTTTTTGAAGTCCAAAACCTTCAATACTGATTATCAGAAGATACGGAGAAACAAAAGAGTCAGTTTAATTTTTAATATCAAACATATTTTTTTAATTGCGCTAGCTCTATATATTGGCTTCAACAGACGGACATGGCTAAATCGATTCGGATTGGGTTCAAAACGGAAATGGTTTCATGTGAAGTAAAGACTTCACTGTTTGTTTTCTTGGCATAGTTTAAAT